TTCAAGCAGAAAGTATCTTAAGAAGGTCAGACATATATCAGGGATGTAAATAAATAAACCAGGTGAACATTGATTGAATCCTGACCTGAGGGTCTCCAGTTCACAGCGTGGATTCTCTAGTACAGCAGACAGGAGCATCACTCCTGAATCCCGCAGGTCGTTGTTACTCAGGTCCAGCTCTCTCAGATGGGAGGGGTTGGAGCTCAGAGCTGAAGCCAGAGAAGAACAGCCTTCCTCTGTGATCAGACAGCCTGACAGCCTGCAAACACACAAAACAACACACATGTCACATGATCTGAGGGAGCTGTGAGGACTAGGAGGTAACTGCAGGACGGAGATACTGTCGGCTAGTGAGGGGGTCACATTAACATGGTTACTGACTGGTTTCCAGTCACAACTAAACACCCACTAATCTACATCAACAATCTGATAATATTACTGATAACTATGATTCATCTTAAATATTTCAATTTGTAACATTATATTGGAAATCAACACTATCACATGTTTATGAAAACATTTGGAAATGACATATTTGATTTGAATCTTTCAAGCAGAAAGTATCGTAAGAAGGTCAGACATATATCAGGGATGTAAATAAAGACACCAGGTGAACATTGATTGAATCTTGACCTGAGGGTCTCCAGTTCACAGCGTGGATTCTCCAGTCCAGCACACAGCAGCTTCACTCCTGAATCCCGCAGGTTGTTGTTACTCAGGTCCAGCTCTCTCAGATGGGAGGGGTTGGAGCTCAGAGCTGATGCCAGAGAAGAACAGCCTTCCTCTGTGATCAGACAGCCAGACAGCCTATAAACACACAAAACAACACACGTGTCACATGATCTGAGGGAGCTGTGAGGACTAGAAGGTCACTGCAGGACGGAGATACTATCAGGTACAGAGGGGTCACATTAACATGGTTACTGACTGGTTTCCAGTCACAACTAAACACCCACTAATGTTCATCAAAAATCTGACAATAATACTGAGAACATAAATATATACATAAAATAAATGTTTGATGTAAATAATGCAAGCAGAAAGAATTTAACGAAGTCAGGAATGTAACTAAATAAAAGACACCGTGTTGAATCCTGACCTGAGAGTCTCCAGGTCACAGTGTGAATTCTCCTGTCCAGCACACAGCAGCTTCAGTCCTGAATCCCGCAGGTGGTTGTTACTCAGGTCCAGCTCTCTCAGATGGGAGGGATTGGAGCTCAGAGCTGAAGCCAGAGAAGAACAGCCTTCCTCTGTGATCAGACAGCCTGACAGCCTGCAAACACACATGTCACATGATCTGAGGGAGCTGTGAGGACTAGAAGGTCACTGCAGGACGGAGATACTATCAGGTACAGAGGGGTCACATTAACATGGTTACTGACTGGTTTCCAGTCACAACTAAACACCCACTAATGTTCATCAAAAATCTGACAATAATACTGAGAACATAAATATATACATAAAATAAATGTTTGATGTAAATAATGCAAGCAGAAAGAATCTAACGAAGTCAGGAATTTAACTAAATAAAAGACACCGTGTTGAATCCTGACCTGAGAGTCTCCAGGTCACAGCGTGGACTCTCCAGTCCAACACACAGCAGCTTCACTCCTGAATCCCGCAGATCGTTGTTACTCAGGTCCAGCTCTCTCAGATGGGAGGGGTTGGAGCTCAGAGCTGAGGCCAGAGAAGAACAGCCTTCCTCTGTGATCAGACAGCCTGACAGCCTGCAAACACACATGTCACATGATCTGAGGGAGCTGTGAGGACTAGAAGGTCACTGCAGGACTGATATACTATCAGGTACAGAGGGGTCACATTAACATGGTTACTGACTGGTTTCCAGTCATAACTAAACACCCACTAATGTTAATCAACAATCTGACAATAACACTGAGAACATAAATATAAACATGAAATAAATGTTTGATGTAAATAATGCAAGCAGAAAGAATCTTACGAAAGTCAGGAATTTAACTAAATAAAAGACACCGTGTTGAATCCTGACCTGAGAGTTTCCAGGTCACAGTGTGGATTCTCCAGTCCAACACACAGCAGCTTCAGTCCTGAATCCTGCAGGTGGTTGTTACTCAGGTCCAGCTCTCTCAGACTAGAGGACTGTGAGCTGAGAACTGAGGACAGAGCTTCACAGCTTCTCTCTGAGAGTTTACAGTCCCTCAGTCTGAAGAAACAACAATGAAGCAAAAATAAACAATAAGTAGAAAAGATGGCAGCATGTTTAAGTCATGATGTATGCATCTAACTCTCTGTACTTACAGAGCTGTGTTGGAGGCTTTGACCACTGGCAGCAGACTCAGAAGAGCAGCCTCTGAAGCAGAGTATTTCTTCAGGTCAAACACCTCCAGATCTTCTTGTGATGACAGTAAGATGAAGACCAGAGCTGACCACTGAGCAGGAGACAGTTTCTCTGAGGAGAGACGTCCTGAACTAAGGGACCGTTGGATCTCCTCCACTAGAGAACCATCATTCAGTTCATTCAGACAGTGGAACAGATTGATGCTTTGCTCTGGAGACACCTTCTTACTGATCTTCTTCTTGATGTACTGGACTGTCTCCTGATTGGTCTTTGAGCTACTTCCTGTCTTTGTCATCAGACCTCGTAGGAGAGTCTGATTGGACTCCAGTGAAAGACCCAAGAAAAAGCGGAGGAACAAGTCCAGGTGTCCATTAGGACTCTGTAAGGCCTCGTCCACAGCACTCTGGTAGAGATGCTTTGGTTTAGGTTTGTCTCTAAAGATTTTAGACAACAGGGAGGTTTTTTGATCTTTTAACAGCAGATTGACACCAGAGTTGATGAAGGTCAGATGGACATGAAGAGCAGCCAGAAACTCCTGAACACTCAGATGGACGAAGCAGAAGACCTTGTCCTTGTACAGTCCGCACTCCTCTCTGAAGATCTGAGTGAACACTCCTGAGTACACTGAGGCTTTTGTGATATCGATGCCACACTCTGTCAGGTCGGATTCATAGAAGATCAGGTGTCCCTTCCTGCAGCTGATCAAAGGCCAGTTTTCCCAGAGACTTGATCATCTTCCTGCTCTCTGGACTCCAGTGTGGATCCGTCTCAGCTCCTCCATCGTACTTGACCTTCTTCACTTTGGACTGAACCACCAGGAAGTGGATGTACATCTCAGTCAGGGTCTTGGGCAGTCTTCCTCCCTCTCTGGTCTTCATCTCCTCCAGAACTGTAGCAGTGATCCAGCAGAAGACTGGGATGTGGCACATGATGTGGAGGCTTCGTGAGGTCTTGATGTGAGAGATGATCCTGCTGGCCTGCTCCTCATCTCTGAACCTCTTCCTGAAGTACTCCTCCTTCTGGGGGTCAGTGAACCCTCTGACCTCTGTCACCATGCCAACACACTCAGGAGGGATCTGATTGGCTGCTGCAGGTCGTGTGGTGATCCAGAGGCGAGCAGAGGGAAGCAGCTTCCCCCTGATGAGGTTTGTGAGGAGCACATCCACTGAGGAGATCTCTGTGACATCAGTCAGGATCTCATTGTTGTGGAAGTCCAGAGGAAGTCGACACTCATCCAGACCGTCAAAGATGAACGCAACCTGGAACTTCTCAAACCTGCAGATTCCTGCTGCTCTGGTTTCACTGAAGAAGTGATGAACAAGTCCCACCAAGCTGAACTTCTCTCTCAGCACATTCAGCTCTCTGAAGGTGAATGGAAATGTGAACTCTATGTCCTGGTGGTCTTTGTCTTCAGCCCAGTCCAGAGTGAACTTCTGTGTTAAGACTGTTTTCCCAATGCCAGCCACTCCCTTAGTCATCACTGTTCTGATTGGTTCCTCTCCTCCAGCTGAGGCTTTGAGGAGGTCTTCTAGTCTGATGGTTGTTTCTGGTCTGGCTGGTCTCCTGGATGCTGTTTCAATCTGTCTGACCTCATGTTCTTCATTGACCTCTGCAGTCCCTCCCTCTGTGATGTAGAGCTCTGTGTAGATCTCATTCAGAAGGGTTGTGTTTCCTGCTTTAGCGATCCCCTCAAACACACACTGGAACTTCTTCTTCAGGTTGGATTTGAGTTCACGTTGACAATCTGCAGGAAGACGTCCTGAATGAAGACAACAAAGAAGTTCAATGAGTCAAAGAATAGATTTTCAACACGTCCTTTCCTCAGAGAATGACTATGAATATATTCTGTCCATCTCTTGAGACACTAGTGAAGGTCTCATTCATCAGCATGGTAAGTCTGTACAGAAATCCTCTTACTGCTCTGCAGACGCTCAGCCAGCTCCTCCTGCTTCATTCTCCTCAGGGCAGACGGACCTGTGGGAACCTCTGAGCTCTCCTGGTCCTCTCTGTGGAGCAACATGAACCATCAGCTCACATGGTGTTTGGACATCAACACCAATACAACATTAGTTAAGGATATTTGCTTCTGTCATGATTGATCATCATGAAAACCAGATGCTGAAGACTGTTGATGATGACGGACAGTTTATTAGTTGAGTTACAGTTAGTCATCAGTTTCATCTGCTTTTAGTTCTTACTGTGGGTCATAAAAACAACATCTGCAGACCTCTGCGTCTGGTACAAAGTCCTATGGAACTACTCCAAACCTCTTTAGTCCGTCCCCTGACCTCTAGAAGTCTCCTTAGATCTTCTGAAACTAGTCTTTGGACCTTTTCACAGAGTCTACTGACGATACTTTGTCCAAACCTCTGCATGGAGTCCAGAGACCACGTCAGCTGGTCCACAGAGCACCGAGTTTATTCTAATCACATGACCTGCGCGCCTTCCCTAAGCAGTCGCGTCTGTGCATTGACTTTGCATGAATCCACACGCGCAAATAATTTGCTTTGCTTTTGGTGTGAACGCAGGATGAGACCTTTTCGACCACAGCGTTTCTCCAGGCAGCAGCAGAGTTTATTCTAATCACATGTTCATCTGTCTCCAGAAACCTGCAGCGGCCTCCAGATGTGACCTGATCCTGATGTGGAGGAACCAGCTCACATTGTGTTTACATCTGAGGACGTTTACATTTAATGATTCACACTAAAACTCTCACAGACCAGTTAGATGAAGATAATGAGTTCTGTCATGATGATCGTCACTTTAAACAATGTACGGACATTCTGTAATTCATAACTAAGGATCTTCAGTTCTTCATCTGTTTAAGAACTTACTGTGGGTCATAAGAACGGCGTCCATCTTTGAAGTCAATCAAACGATCAATAGACTGATGATCTTTGAAGTCAATCAAACGATCAATAGACTGATCATCTTTGAAGTTAATCGATCGATGAGGAGACCGATCTCTCTTCATGGACAAACATCTGGGTTCAGGAGACTTTCCTCTCTGCTGATGTGACCTGAAAGAAACACTGAGATTACATCATCACATCATCATCTAATCACGAAGCATCAGCTCACATGGTGTCCGTCCTCAGAGACCAAAACAAGGTAAAGGTCCATGACGTGAGGTCTGGATGTGGACCACATGACTCGCTGTAGTGGTTTAGGTCTACTGGTGCTGCTGGTCCCACTGAGAATCAACAGCTCAGTCTATCAGCTCACCAGTCAGTTTGGTTTAGAATATATATATATATATATATATATAATGTATACACACGAGATATAACTGTACTAAGCGCGTCAGTGTTCATAACGTTTAATCTCTCAGACTGATGCTTGTTCTCCGGTAACGTTCCGTCTCTTTGAGAGCAGAGTTCAGATGTTTAGAACAAGCTGCTCACTGTGGATACAGACAAGATGTTCAACGTTAACGTCCTGTCTGTATCCACTGTGAGCAGCTTGTTACTGTCCATCATTGAGCATTAAGACTAACAATGTTTTAATTAAAGGACACGAGGAGACCGTCATCGAGACTCTAAACCGGCAGCTTCAAAGAGACTTATTTTTACAAATATGAATTATTGAATTTTCTCTGTAAGACATTTGATGTGTGGTCATCTGCTTCCATTTACTTGAAAATGTTTATATTTATTTCCTTGTTTGCAAGAGTTCACACATTGATCACTATCATAGATATTAAATCCGATGTTAATCACTAATGATGTCATCTTACTGTTGCCTCATTGATCAATGTATTATAGACATCAATCAATCACTATTGAAGTAGAGACACAGAGGAGGTTCAGGTACATTTGAATTGAATTTACAGTGATGTTTGTGTATTTAACTGGACGAGGACGACACACTGATGATCCTCCTCTTGATGTTTGAGTCACAAGGAGAAGTTTGTGGAATGTGTTACTATCCATTAAAACATTAACGGATTCATTATTGTTGCTATCAAACCTTATGAAACCTTTATAGAGCTCATGTGTGATGTAATACAACGTGCGTTTCTTCCATCCAATAATATGTTAAATACACTCCTGTCAGTGTGATCCAGTAAAGTTCAGCAGCACCACAAACTACAGCTGCTCCTCTGCATCTTCTTCAGATGTTCTACTGGACAACGACTCTGATCTGACACACTGAGATACTTTGGCTGATTATTTTATGTCTGATAGAAATAAATAACAGTCAAGAACTGTATCAAAATCCGTGGTGACGTCATCACGTCAGCTGCTGTTGAAGGTGGAAATGACCGTTCTCTGTTCTCTTGAACCTGTGAGTCCGTCTCCTGACAACACGAGTCCGTCCTCAATACCTGAGACCTCACCTTGCATCCACAGGGGGACGGACATCGTTGAATTTTAGAGGAGCATCCATAGACCGGTTACTCTTCATGGACACACAGCTGGGTGCAGGTCCAGACACCGGACCAGGTTGGGGATCAGGTGCAGGTCCTGGTCTCTGATGGGTCCTGGTCACACATGTAGAAGCAGAGTCACTGAGTCAAAGACGTTGGGACATGGAGACGAGTGGAGGACAGTTGGAGATGGTCCTCTCACCTCTGAGCTTTGGTCCTGCTGTCATGTTCCCCACACAGAGGAGCTTCAGAGGGACGGACTCCGTCCTCTGGGTCCTCAGCCTGATTCATAGCAGAGTCCACAGCTTCACAGCTTCACACCAACCTGCTGGGAGAACTCACACGTTATTGAAAAAACAAATTTCATTTCCATAAATCCTATAAAGCAAAATAGAAACACAGCAGCTGAACCAGAAGTGCACATTTTCACAGTAAAAGTCCAGGAATGGAACGTTTGTACACCAGATATTCGTCTGTGATCCAGCGCATAGCAGGGCAGCATATGAAGAAACGTTAGCTAATATCAATGTATGTAGATTATTACAGATGTTTTTGTAGCCAAATTCAGTCCAAAGGTTTGGACACTTTCTCATTGAATCAAATGAGTAAACGTGTCCAAACGTTTGACTGTTCATCTCATTTAAGAACCAATCGGTGTGGTTGAGGTTTGGGCTTTGGGCCGTTTTACAACATGAATGCTTTGATGTGAACTATTCCATTGTAGCCCAGGCTGAATGTTTAGGCTCATTGTCCCATTGTCCTCTATTTGGCTCCGTCCATCTTCCCCTCATTCATTTTCTCCTGGTCCTGCTTGTCAGTTTGGGTGGACGTCTTTCTCTCAGCAGCTTTGTGGTTGTTTAATCCTTCATAGACTTGAAAGCTGAATAAGTTCTGCAGGTGTTGAGGAGCAGGGGGTGTCAGACCCAACTGCTATGTGGAGGAACCGAACATGTTGAGGGAAAGAGGATGTTACGCTCAGCTGGTGTGGAGACACTCGTGGTGCTCTACAAGTATTAGTTTGGAGCTGTAAAACATCTGCCATATAAAACTCTTGCCCTCATAGAGGTGGATTTGACTTTGTTACGTTTAAGCTAAAGGAGGTAAATTATTCTGTTTTCATCCGTCCAAAGTCCGGCCCGCGGTCACATTTTATTCGCCCCGAGCCGGCCGACGTCGAGACACAAAGGCAGCGCTACACGTCCACCGCCGTCAGGACGCCGGCGTTTTCCCCGAGGGAGCGGTGCTGACGGGCGGCAGAGGTTTGCCGGGATGCCCGGCAGGTAAGGAGGCAACGTTTGCTGTTCAGGATGATCCAAGACGAGCAGATCTACAGCAGAGATCCTCAGATCGACCAGCGTGTGGCGCTCGTTCATTCTGTGCAAAGTGTTAGAAGCAATAAAAACACACACAGCATTCAGAGCGCCTCACACACCGGCGCCATCATGAGCAAACAGCGTCACCTTTGACCTCTGTGCTTAGACAAAGGTCAGAATTACCTATTGGCCCTCAGGCATCTTCACTTTATCAAACGTCCTGACGTCCACAGAGGACAAGGACTCGCTACCTGGAAGGGGATCGGATCACTGGAGCCTCTATAAAGGTCACCAGGGCTCTCGGGGTCACTGGGACCTTTGACTGCTGATGAGGAAGTTAATCAGAAGTACGTGAGCATCGGCCCACCGCTCCAGAGGCCCCTCTGAGGTCACATGACAGGTCACATGGTGGCAAAGAGAAAGAGAACCCGTCCGTCTCTGTCTGGCTCTCGTCTCTGTCTGGCTCTCGTCTCGTCAGGAAAGAAATGTCAAATATTCTGGAGCAGAGGTCTTCAACAGGGGGGCCGCCAGACTTGTGGTTGTCTTGAGAATCAGAATTGTATTTATTGTCTTTAAATACACATTAACATGAATCCAACATGTTGTAGAAACGGATGATTTGATGGAGGAGACGTCGTCTTTCTGTCCCACAGCAGCTCTCATGCTCACACAGTGACGGAGGGGGGGGGGTAAAAAATAGAAATCCACCCAACGCAACGTGTGGCGGCCGGTGTTGAATCTGTGACCCACCAACACAAACGAGTGTGTGTGGGAAACACTGTGACACGACATCACAGGCACCAGCCAATCACATCCCTTCATGCTCACGTCTAAATGGATAAAAGACGGGGGGCCGAACGTCTTGGTAGAATAGGGGGTCTCTGCTCCATCTCACCATCAGCTTGAGGGTCCTGACCTGAAAAAGGTTAAAGATCTAAAGTCTAAATGTCTGAAGTAAAGTCACACAAGTCATTTTCTTTAGACCAACATTCTATCTTCTCATGTTGGACCTTTGAGCTCTTCGGTCTAACAGCTTGATTTATGATGGAAGTGTGACGAACGTCTGTTTTCATTGATTGATTAATGAACAACACGTGTTCACTCCTCCGTGAAACACAAATACATGATGTATACGACTAAATATGATGAATATCAAAGGACAGAGACACAAGCGTTCAATAGTCGTCTTCTGCCCCCTGGTGGTGGACATGTGAACACGTTTACTCTCCTTAAAGTGTCTCTGATCACTGAAGCAACACAACAACAACCACAACCCGTAGTATTAACTAGTATTACCTATAGTATTAAATATGTTGTTACTATATTCCATCAAACGGAATACAGTATGAATGAGTATCTGTGGATGTAAATGTATTACATCACATCACAGCTCATTTAGACGTTTCTAAAGCGACTTACATTACATTTTTAACTCATGCTTCTTATATTGTTGCCCGGGAACAATAAAGGATCAGGGCCTCATTTATAAACGCTGCGTACGCACAAAAGAAGGCGTACGCCGCTCTCTGCGCAATAATTGGTGTTTATAAAAAGCAAACTGGAGGAGAAATGTGCGCTGCTTCACGCAAGCTCGGACCCACAAAAACGGGTGAAATGAACCGTCGGCAAACGCAAGAAACACGCAAACGTGTGTGAAAGTGTGTAAAACTAGACTGTGGTAAAAGAAATGCCAATACTGCCTCATAAAGAACACGAACACCCGTCTGATCTGCAGCGTAAAACAAACTGATACTAATTAACACATTTTCAAAAAGAAAAGTGAAACATGTTCTGCAATAATATCGGCATGTTGTTAAATTCATCCTCTGAACACAGCTGTTGCTCGTCAGATGCAATCAGACGGTAATAAAACGCCGTGATGACGTCACAATGCGTGATGACGTCACAATGCGTGATGACGCTGATGGCTGATCTTAAAAATTTAGAAATATGAAAAGTGTGAACATCTTACACACACACACACACACACACACGCACACCGTGGAGACACACCTTGGCGATGACGCGCTAAACGCTTCTTTGCATCCACTTTGATGTCAGACCAGTTTTTCTGTGTTTGGGTCCGAGGTCGTGAGGCTGCAGCGTTGCTCTGCAGCCTTTTGCCCCTCAGGTGCCTTGTTGGCATCAGTGATCCACACTGTGTCCTCCAAAGAGCGTCTTACGTCTCCTTCCACCTCCCAGTGATCATCTCCACTTCACTGAGTCAAGTGACGTCTCTTCGTTTTCCTCTCAGTGTTTGTCATGATTTCGCAATCGATGAATATTAATTTGTGGGCGTTCCACAGACTATATATGGGCAGCTGTGGGCGTTCCACAGACTATATATGGGCAGCTGTGGGCGTGACATGAGCGCAGAAGCTGCGCTGCGTTTAGACGTGATTGTGATTAAGGGAACTGCGTAGGACGTTTATACGTCTGAATGTTTCCGTGCGTCCGCACGTCCTACGTTCATCCGCACGACACTTCTGGTGCAAATCCTTTAGAAACGA